TCTCCCTCTCTCACTCACTCACTCTCTATCACCGCCTTTCAGATCTTTAAAAGCTGGTGCTTTGCTCTGTCTCTCTCGATCTCCATTTGTCTCCTCTGGCACTGCAGGGGACTCAACCGGCAAAAGCACCAAGGAAAGCTACTGTATAGAAACGGGAAGAAGACTGAGGAAAGGGGAGAGAAAGGGAGAGAGAGGGAGAAATATACATCCAGAAATAGCCTCAGCCACATTTAACTGACAGAGAGTGACAGAGTGGAGAACCTGAGACCTGGACAGAAAATGCCTATCCTTTCTAACTTAACAACCGTTGTTTTGTTGCTGATTGCTCACTGTGGATCATGGACCGGGGCAAACCGCTTGGGCCCCTTCAAGGTCTGTCCCTCCTGCAGGGATCCACTGGGGGCAGGTCGGCCCCCCAGGGACCATAATGTTGCCGGCAGCACGTCAGTGTTGGCCCAGGGAGAGCCCTGTGGTGTGTACACCCTGAGCTGTGCCAAGGGGCTCCGCTGTGTTCCCCCACCAAGGGAGCACAGCCCCCTCCAGGCTCTGTTGCAGGGAAGGGGCATTTGCGCCAAGCACAGCAGGACAAGTCCCACCGAGAGGCCCCACCCCACAGGTAAGATACTGTATACACACACACACACGTGCATGAAATCACGTATGCACACGTACATGCATGCGCCTTCAGATGCACACAGACACATGCATGGACACTGCAGGTAGGTTAGACGTGTGCAGTGGCACAGGCACCACACACAATTGTATTTAGTGTGTCTCCTGTATTGCTGTGAATTGCATGTGATGCTGTGTCACTCACCAACAAAAAGAAAGGCCAATTAGTGTGTGACATTTAAGCCTGGATGCATTTTGTGCACCACAGATGAATTTGCAAACCTCTAGCATCCAATACTGCTCAGCACTGCCTCTGGAGTCACTGTGATAAAAATGTCATTTGGCATTACAGTCCCATTGTAAAGGACTGAGATTTGTTCATCACAAATGATGGCAAATCACAAACAACAAGGACCTTTTATGTAGTCTTGGGGTGTTGCAACAGTGTGTAAGTGAGGGTGAACACCCCTGCATTTATATGTACAGTGTAATATATTTTATTCATTTCAGTGACAGGGTGCATGACAATGATCTGTCCTACAAGTCAGCCTCTCTGTAGAGAATTCAGAATGAATGTGAAACTGTCACAGTGTCACCTACATCCTGATCAAGCTGCTTTTTATTGCAGTGATCTCCATCTACTGTTCAAACTGAGATACTGCGATTAACTATCTGAAAGGGAAATATACTGATGGAAATTAGGTCTCTCGTTGAATGACCACCCCAGATAGAGCTCATCTGAACGACTGCTGAGAAAGTGTCCTGTGCAAAAAACACGCAAAGATAGATAGCAAAGTCTAAATATTATATATGCAGCATATATTGTAAAATGTGACATTGGATGTGGTTTGATGTTAATAACTACGATGGTTTAATGTCACATTCTCATGCCGGTGTGTCATTTCCTCTCAGGTCCCCATCCCTCACACAGTGGTGACATTGAAAGAGTAAGTTCATGCTCTTATTTTACAGTCTTTAATGAGTGAAGTTAATGGATCATCGCCTAAACGATCAAAATTCTGAGCTGCATAAAGCATTTTATTTAACAAGATGGCATTAATACACATCATATGAGCTGCATTGTGTTATAGAGAGTTATTACCACAGATCCTCTGCTGTTTGGGGTGTTGCAGTGGCATGTACACACACTCTGCCCTGAAGCCATGCATTATGGTGCATGATGTGTGTGCTGCTATGCGGCAGAACTAATTGAGCATGATGTGAATCAGGAAAGTTTCAAGTCGGCCGCTGCCGCCACAGATTTTTCACTTTGCGAGCCGGGTGATCTGCAGCACTTGAACTAATATGTGTGTTATCGTGGGAGCAACAATAGTCACATAATTGATGACACTGTTTAATTTTACAAAGTGACAAAAAAAAAAAAACGCACAGTCACTTCAAACAATGACCTGAAAAGCCAAATGCATTGTGTAACAATATGGTTATATAATGTTATACAATATGTGGCATCTGATACATATATATAAATATACATATTCTCTGCTTCTGGCTCTAATGCTGCATCACTGTAGCTAATCCTTTGTGATTCACATCCGCATGTGTTGTGATCAAAGAGGATTTCACCTGAGGGGAGACCGCAGCTTGCCACTGCCACTCTTTACATGAAGACAGGTTCTCTGTATTTGCCTCTGGGGATGTTTGAAGTCACACTCTGCGTTGCTGTTTTCAGGCACCCTGCCGCAAGCTGCTCAATAGTGTCCTGAGGGGTCTCGAGCTGACAATCTTCCAGTCTGACCGTGACATCTATATACCCAACTGTGACACTCGTGGCTTCTACAGGAAAAAGCAGGTAGAGTGTTACAGTTACCTGAAGCATCATTAAACACAGCACTGGAACTTTATTGGCTCTTGTGCTGTGAAAACGTGTCTTTGCTGCACTGACTTGGTGTCACTGTATGTATCTGTGAGAGTGTGAGAGCCGCACTCCACTGCAGCTTTCTGCTCGGTGCATCCACAGATTTGTCTGTGACCACAGGGGCTGAGAATAACTGACACTTCTCTCCCTGAGCCTCTCAGCTGTGAGCTCAGAGAATCAGTACTGCGCTATGATGACATATCATTTTCTCTCTCTTCCTCTCTCTCTCTCTCCCCACCTTTGCCACTCTCCCACTCAATCTCCGCCCTCCTTCCCTTTCAAAATCTCCCTCTCTGTCTTTTAATCTCACACAGTGCCGCTCCTCCAAGGGCATGCAGCGTGGCCACTGCTGGTGCGTGGACGAGCTCGGCACACCCGTGCCTTCACATGCCAGTGAAGATGGTACTTTACCATGCGATGGGGAGTGAGGGATGAGTCTGTCCTATTGCTCTGAGCCTGGAGGAAGAGGAGAAGGAGGAGGAGGAGGAAGAGGAGGTGGTGGTGGAGGAGCAGGAGCACAGGGAGAGGGGGTGGCTTTAGCATGTGCTAGACACTGCCTGGACAGGAGGTAGCAGGGATAAACCACTTCCTATGGATAATACACACCAGTTAACGTTCATGTCCTCTCTAGAAGCAAGACACACACACTCTCACAGTCCAGCAGCAGCGACAATAACATCTGCCTGAATGTTCAACAGTTGCAGCAACGTCCTCCGCGTCGTCTGGTGACATGCTGCATGCTCACATTAATGCTCCGTGAACTGCCTCAGTGATCCAAGCGGTATTACTCCGAATGATCTCTATATTCCCTGGCTCTTGTCCCGGCTTTCTGGTAGATTTTGATTTTCCTTCTTAGTTTAGGATAGCTGACACTGCCTGTGTTTGTTCTGATCTCAGTGGGCTGAAATACTGTTAACGCAGGTGATGTGACACAAATGTTTGAAAAATGTGTCTCCCTCACCGTCCTCTCTCCCTCTCTCCAAAGATACACTGATATCAACATACCTAATTGACAGAATATTTCTTTTCTATTAATTTATTTTGGAGTCTCTATTTCCATCAAGTACTGCTTGAATCTTACAGTATCTTATATATATGTCAAGTCAGAAAAAAATAGTCATACGAATATGATCCTGGATGCTTCTGTTCATTTTATTTGTCAAAATGGCGTTCTGATTGCTTATTAGTTGATTGTTTGTACATATGTTGGAATTTTGTGGTCGACTGTGTGTTCTGAAGTGGCAGACAAAAAGCTTACGGCTGTTACCCTTTTCAAAAAGTTGTAAGGCATATTTTTATACACGTCAATATAATATTTTATATATGAATTGTTGGTTTATTTAATGAACTACAGTACAATGCCATGTATTTTTATATTGTCAGCAGTTTCTTATTTAAAGACAGAGATTATTTTATTTCATGTTAGGGGAAGTGTTGTGCTTTAAAGGCACTTTTATGGCAAAACTCATCACATTCATCAGAGCTCTATTCAACTGCTGCACATCTTATGGTTAAATCTCATGTTTTTAATTTCCTTTTTTATTTATGCTTTGTTTATTTGAGAATTGAGAATGTCCATGTTACTATTATGTTTTATTTTGGCACATCATCCTACAAATTCTGATTTCAACAGAGGAAAAAAAATGATCAAATTTGTTATTGTTATAGTATGTCTTTCCCAAGTCCTTGCAAAAGTCATGAAATTGTGTGCTATTAAAGTGTGATTAGAATTTATCTATTTCTGAACAATCTTGTTGTGCCAATGTGTGTGCCGTGATGATAGGTCCGTGCACAAAGGACCTGTAAGATTTGCAAATATGAAAATAAAACATAATGATAATAAAAATGGAGAAGAATTAAACATATATTAATATAACAATGGCTGTTGGGTGTATTTTTTATATGAAATGCTGGAGGAGATCATGACAATGCTTTTTTTAAAATGCCCTTTATTTAACTCAGAGAATGTTTCAAGATATGTAACATCTAAAATCTGCTGCTACCGGAGGGAGAGTCCGTGGACAGTTTGTTGAGACGGTTCTGACTGCAGCGTTCTTAATTCATTCTCTGCATTTGACCCATGAGAAGTACCCGGGGCAGGGGGCAGCTCCAGATCTGAGCCAGTGTTCAGTTCTAACCACTGAGACACAACACCGCCAAGATCAAGTTGGTACAAATGACTTTAATGTAACAGTAAGCAGTTACTTTGCCCCATTTGTTTAATCAAAGTCACTAATGATCAAATTAATTAAATTTGACATAAAGTCAGTCAGGAGCGGTGAGTAGATACTGGACGGTCCTGTTCTCAGGGGCGAGGGGGCCCTGAAGTGGCTCTGGCCACCCTTGAAAACTGATCGGCCACCCTGATATCCTTACCCTATTCCACTCTGTGTTTGAGAGGCTGTAGCGAGTGACGATATGTTGTGCTAGCATTCTGGGAACTGAGCTGAATAACGCTCCAAAGTCAGGCTAGCTACATTTTTTTGCGATGGAAAAACTGGCATGGCCATTTTCAAATTGATCCTTTGACCTCTGACCTCAAGATCTCTGAATAAAACTGGGTTTTCTGGGTACCCACAAGTCTCCCCTTTGCAGACATGCCCACTAAATGCTAATCTCAGGCAGTTTGCATGTGGTATAAATGTGCTATTTAACTAACAGATTTTAATATTTCTGCAGACTGGGGTCCATAAACAGTGATGGAAATGTATAAATTGGGAATGAAAGAAAGCTGAGACACATACTTGCATAAGTCAGTGCCCCACTTGTGCCACTAGAGTCAAAAACATCCCTGCGTGTTCTATGTGAACCTAAATCTATGACCTACCCAATTCCACCTTTAGCTTTTTCACAATATGAAGATTAAATGAAAGAGAATCATTGTAAATATCTATAAAAAGAAGTGTGCTGAGATGTTTTGCCAGGATGGTGACAACAGCGATGAAGATGATGATACTAAATCAGATGTAAAGATTTTGGAGGATGAGCACTGGTGGAAATTATTCCTAAAGGTGCAACCCATTAACAAACACAGAGGCTTCTGCACAGTCACTCTTAAAAGCCTCGGGTGCTGCAACTGAGGGTTTCTCTGAATCATCACCAGCATATGAACACGTTACTCTCATTCCAAAAGCCTTTTGGTTTGAGGCTTTGTGCCTGTCTCCATTTGTCTGTGCCAGTCCCCTCTGCAGTCACAGTAACCCGTCACCAGCAGTGAGACAGAAATTACACATTAGAGCACATTAGAGTCATGCTGCTTTTCTGCCATTACTAGGCACATAAAGGATCATTTTCTCCTGCTTCGCAACACAGGGACCCGATACATGCCTGTTTCCAAGGTAACCGCATAGAATATCCCATTTGTCCATGCGTAATATGAAACGAAAGGCCTTTGCAGAAAATGAAGGAGGAAGCATGATCCTTTGTAGAATCACACCACCACACGTCCTACTTCTCTATCTAGGGTGGTTGCGTTTGCTATTCTTGGAGATTTTCTTTTCTGTGCATTGAGCATGAGATGAAGCCAGTGATAGTGTCTGTCAAGCACAATAGATTAACCTACTAAATGAGAAAGTGTGCAGTTACGATGTGAGTACAGACAGCACGTTTCTATCTCAGAGTTAAAATGTTTGATTAAAGATGCAGATGGACTGTGTTGGCTCAGTCCTCTGGGGCAAAGTTTAGGAAATGTTCAGATCTTAAAGCTGATAATTGACAGAAATTGTTAATTATTTCAAAATATTTCTGGAACAAATACTTTGTCCTCAAGAGAGTCAAAGATCCTGCACTCACAAGAGTTGCTCCTGTTACCTAATTTGTGTATTTGAGACAACACATATGACTAAACATCAATATGATGTAAATGTTTCATCTGCAGTCAGTGTGCAGGTTGATGTTATACATTAAAGGAAACGAACAGTGGAGTGGGCCTTTATGTAAAAAAGAGCTTTTCCCATCCAGAAAATGTATGTCACAGACAGTGCTGCATTCAGGGCATAGTGGAAAAATTGAACTTCTAGTTTATCAAACTGCTGTTGAACTCATCTTTAAAGCTTTAATCTGTAACATTTCCTCATTAAACAGTGTATAAACTCTAGCTCTATGTTCTCTATGTAGTTGAGTTCTTACATTATCCCAAATGTTTCCAACGAACAATGGTTTCAAACCAGAAAAATCTGTCATTTTATTCAGCGTAACACTGCGTCACTAATCATATAACTGCTCAATGAGGCTTTAAAGGAGGATATTTAGTTAAAGGTCTGGGATTGTCACCACATTGCTGCAACAAGTACTGCGCTTCCTTTAAACCCGGGGCAGCTCCGTCTACGTTAGGTAACCTCAAAGCATAATGTTGTGCCTTTGTTCTTGGGATCTTACCGGGGCCCCCTAGAGGGTTAAAGTCTCTTTGGGTCTTACTAATGAAAAGCTGTTGTATTATGTACATCTGCCACAACATCTGGCCTCCTCCAGCCAAACTAAAAACACACAGGTTTGAAATAATATCTGCATTGTTTAGATAACTTTCACTAACTTTGATCTGTTATTATCACTCCAACTTAAACCAACTAAACTAACCACTGTTACGCTGTCAATCTTCTGTCCATCAGTGGGTGGAAGGATTCAGCATTCCACATTCAGAACAACCTGTTAAAACAAAAAAAAGGGGGGAAAATTTTTAAAAAAAAAGTTATTGGAGCTGATTACACTTGCATTTATAAGTAAAAAAAACATTCTTGGAAATTTTGTAATTGTTATTTGTACAGTGCAAAACAAAATACCTTGCTAAGTATTTAATCAGGAATGTTTTCTGTTAACTTTTTTTGATTTTAAGGCCTTGGTAGGAAAACTTGAATTTATTTGTACAGGCGGCAATTATAACAGGAAAGAGACTTTTCCAAATAAGAGGCAGGGTCTAGACCGAACTCCTATACAACAAAAAGATCATAACAGTATCTTCGCATTTGATTCACTTCTGTGACAGAAAAGTAAAAGTAATTTTTACTGATAGAAGCAAATGCGGGAGCCAAGTTTCAGGAACAAGAAAACACTTGAATATGTAACAAAATAAAAGCCCTATTAAGATCTAGTCATTATTGATTAAAAACAAATAATTAAAAAAATCCTAATACAGACAGAAGAATTGCCATAAAAAGTATCCCTAAACAGGGAATAATCTGCTCAAAAAAAAATAAAACATTTGTTAATATTAGTAATTGACCTAAACATATATTGTTAAATATGTGTACAATTATAACCTTAAACCATCTTAATTACGCATGGTTCCCGCCACCTCAATGCAACACAGCCAGATCCGCCTGTTTACCGGTAAGTGACCGAAGATATGATAAATCCGACTTTTATAAATCCGTCACTGTAACGCACATTTAAAGACCGACAGCCACCCGACCCATCTCTCGTAGGAACAAGGATCACCTGACGCAACAGCTCTCGAGCCTTCATCATGAGTCAGCGCCACCTTCCATACAACAAAACTAAACCCACGTGGATCTGATGATACAATGGGCGGAGCATACGAGGGACCGGCGCGAGGGGACTGTTCAGTTGGAAAGATACGTTCGGTGGCGCACGTGGTAACGAAAGTTCAGAAATGAACATACAACCTTCCGTATTAAACGGTATAATCGGTGTTTATTAGAGTTTTAACGGGCGTCGGTGTGACAACAACCCGGAGCTCGGACGGTTGACGTTTGGCTGTCGTAGCCGAGGAGACCCACGGAGACAGCTAGGCCAGCAAACGAGACGGACGGTACGCTTCGTACGCTTCGCCGTCAGCCTCAGAGTAAAGGCATTCGGTCAGCCTCGGTAAATGCTATCCGTGGACTTCGTTACTTACACAACCTCCACACAAAATTCACCGCACCAATAACCAATCCGCAGTCAATGCCTTCCAACTACTCCTTTCCAATCCATCTGTTGATACCTGCCCTTGTTTGCCCCCCGCATCTAAAACAAAAATGATCACTTCCATATGACCAGACATGTAAATTTAATTGTTCCCGGCAAGTCTTAACCCCAATCCTCCCCATGCTTAAATGCTTCCCATATGTTTCCTTAATCACTCCCCAACAATAATAGCCATCCCTACTACTACTTATTTTTAGCACCCCTTTACTAAAATTCTGTGACCCGTCGTTGTTTACTCTGATCGATCATTAACCGTTTATAAATACAATATAGTTACTATGTATGTCCTCAACACACACTATTTTCAAATCAACACCTGTTATGACTTTATTACTCACAGCACATGTATCCTCTGCCACTCTGCGATCTTGTCTTTAAGATCTACAAATATTCTTGTTTTGTTTTTGCACTAGTAATGTTACACGCTTCCAAACTGTTTTTTTTTTTTTTTCTATTCTTCTGTCCAGGCATACCAAAACACTATGTACAATTCACGTGTTTAATACGTTATCCTATGTATCTTTGCATTCCACTGAACAATAAAATGATAGATATAATGTACAGCATAGTTTTGTATGCAGGAATTAAAAAATGAATTGTCCTCAAAAATATGTTTTGAGAAAGAAACTTAAAGATCAGATTAAAATCAGCAAACTCCCGCATTTTCCTACGAAAAAGTATAACATAAATCAGTAGATTTGAATAACACAAAAATTTATATTTTAATCACATACAGCGATCACATATAACATTTACACCGCGCGCAT